ATATTAAACAATTAAAACGTAAATGATATCCGATTTCCCGTTGATTTCCCCAAACGAGTGGCAATCGCATTCGCATTCGTATCCGCATCCGCATTCGGTGTATCTCTGTATCTGTATCTTTGTGTGCGTGCGTGTGTGAATTGTTCTTTTATGAAATATGACAGCGATATGTATGGCGGCAATTAATGGATATAATCGAATTATGGTTGAACGAGCCCCGACAGCAGCAGGATTTTAATTAATATTTTGCCATTGCTTCTAGTATTTCTCGCTCTGCGAGAGGGAGAGAGAGGGAGGGAGAGTCCCTTCCATCCATTAGAAAAAAAACCTGTTCCATCAATCAATTAATTTCGGCATTTTCTTGGCAACAAAATGCATTTGAAATAATCATAAATTTCCCCTTAATTGAGGCCTGCATTCGAGAATATCCTCGATTTCCCTGCGAATTTCTCAACTAATTTCCATATTAAATGCAAATTGAATTTTCCCCCGTTTAGTCCCCCCCCCCCCCCCCTCGTGGCCTTTGCCAAATTTCATTTAATTTGGCAAAAAACGGCCCCAGAAGCCGCACCGCCCCGCACCGCCAGAAGATACTAATTTTAAACGTTTGCCTCATTTACATCCCAAAAACGGAGCAAGAAGCGAAGGCGAAAACGAAGGCAAATTTGCAAATCAAATTACGTACAAGGGTATCCGCGCGACACTTCCTTCGACAGGCACACACACACACACACACATTAGCTGGAGGCGCCTCTCCCTCTCTCTCTATAGCCATCTGTGTCTATCGTTTGGGTGGAAGTGTCTTGCCACATCGTATGCATATTTAAGCAGTGTGTTGGCTTTGCGGTCTTTGCGCCTCACGGAACGTGTTAATTGCAGCCACATTCAGTGTCTCCAGCGGCTGCTGCTCTCGACTCCCGCTGGCTGCCTCCTCCCGCCTCCCGCCTCGTGCCCCCTGCCCCCTGCCTTCCGTGCCATCTGCCACTTGCAGCCTCTCTAACAAATGCAATTAAAATCTTTGAGCAAAGAAGAAATTGTTGCAGCCACAGCGGGACGGACAGAGAGGCCAGCGCGAAACGGGTGTGGAATGCCAGTTAGAGAATTAGAGAAAGAGGCAAAGAGGCAACACATGACAGATAACATATTGCAATACGCGGGCGAGCAGAGCTCCTGCGACCACAAGAGCGAGAGAAATATGGGATGGACAAAGCGAAAGATACAACAAAGCCCAGAGAAGAGAACAAAACAAAAAAAACACAGAGGGAAGAAAAGCGGAGAGCATTTATCTACGTTCTGTGCTTGGGTCACGCTTCCCGGCATCCCAGCATCCCAGCTCCAGAGCCACAAAAACGAATCTAATTTGCAGCAAAGGCCACAAAGGCACTAAAAATACCCCGCAGATACATTTCAGAAACCATTCTGCATCCAGGGCTGCGAGTCCTGCGGCTCCTGCGACTCCTGCGAGTGATGTCCATCGGTCCCACCCCCACCCCCCCCCCCTGGCCGCCGCCGGATAATTCAGTTTATCCATCAGCGTCATGTTCGTGTGGCGTGTGGCAGGATGCGGCATCTTGGACTCCCACGATGGTCTTTGTTTTTCGGTGAATTATTCAAGAAAATCTCCAATTTGCGGCAATTTTCTTCGTCTGCGATGGGCATGCGAAGGGCTTTGAGCCATAATTCTACTGTTATTTCGCGGCTCTTCGAATCTTAATCCGTTTTGCAGGGCACCAAAGCAGCCCAAAACTCCCCAACTTAGTACGAAAGCTTAGGCAGTGCCGCCCCGCCACGCCCCCGTTGCAGCTAATTAAGTTCCAGCAGCAGCAGGCGCTAAAATTCGAGTGGAGCGCAAGGAAAGATGGAAAAAAGGGATGCCCTGTGGCAGGATGCGGATGTGGATGTGAATGGGTGAGCTCCGCTAATCGGCTTAGGGGCATCCAGCTGCTGCTGCCGGCGGCGGCACGCCCCATCACGTTGCATCGTTGGGGCGCAGCACATTTAATCATTTTTAAGTGGAATGCGAGGCGGGGGACGCCAGTTGGCAACAAATTACAACTCGCATTAATTATACGACGTGTTGCACGGAATATCTAATTGTATAATTGTCTCCCCCTCTCTCCCCCCTCTCTTTGCAGGACACTCGCTGTGAATAGTTTTCGCCATTAATTAATGATTAATGCAACATTTTCTATGCATCGTCCACGTCTGCTGCTCCTGCTGCCGCTGTCCTTGGCAGCCAACCCAAGCCCCAGCATGCCACATGCCACAGCCACGAATGCATTGAGTGACAGCCAGAAATCATCACAATAGACGTACAACAAAAACAACAGCAGCAACAGCAACAACAGCAGCAACAGCAATTCCAGCTAAATCTGAGACAACAACAACTGCAACGGGAACCATGTCGAGTGGCAACAATGAAACAGCGCCGCTCTACTGCGGCAGCGGCATGGATAATTTTCACACAAGGTAAGCGACGACAGCGACGACAACGAGGACAACGAGGTCCTGCATGGCAGCCACTGTTGCCCCCGGGGGCAATGTCAAAGTCACTGCCAGAAGGGGCATGCACCCCAGCGGCAATGGAAAGGCTGCGGAATACCCTTTCGTAACCATTTCCCGTGAAATTTGTACCCACTCGTGTGTTGTGCGCAACTTTAATTCGGTTTCGGCTTCAAGGTCCTTGGAATAGAAGGGGAAATGTTGAAGTTTTGGCCGAGGGCTGGAGTGGAAATTCATTGAAATTCATTGAAACTCGAAGATAGTCTGCAGGGCAGAGCTGTTTCGTAGAAAAAGAAGAGCCAGGGCATGGCGAAGGGAGAGGAAAGAGGTTCCAGAAGACTCTGAAGAGGGTGGACCCCAAGAAGGGGGGGATCTTAGAAGAAGGAGACCCTTAAAGGAGGAGATTCTAGAAGAGGGAGATCACAGAGGAAGGAGATCCTAGAAGAAGGAGATCCCAGAAGGAGGAGATCCTAGAAGAGAGAGATCCTAGAAGAGAGAGATCCTAGAAGAGAGAGATCATAGAAGAGGAAAATCCTAGAAGGAGGAGATCCTAGAAGAGGGAGATCTCAGAAGGGGTAGATCATAGTGAAAGGATACCCTAGAAGAAGTAGATCCTAGAGGAAGGAGATCCTGGAGGAAGGAGATCCAGGAGGAAGGAGAGTGAGGCTGAGCTAAAGGAGATTCCAGAAAACGGAGATCCCAGAGGGGGTAGATCCTAGAAGAAGGAGCGTTAGACGTGGAAGAAGCAGGCTCTAATCAGATAGATTCGAAAGCAGAAGAGTCGAACCAAGAAGTTGCTCCCAGAGGATTGAGGAAAACAATCTCCAAGACACTTGAACACAAGAAAGTCTCCCTCGGTCGCTCTTGGTTGTTGCTGCCACGCAAATCTCGGCGCCGAAGCCCCCTTTCCAGAATCCTCCGGCCCGACCATCAATCATCTTCTCCCAAGGGTGCAGGCACCACCCACCACCGGCGCCGCCGCCCACTTTGGCGGCACGATGACAACAATGTGGAACAAATCGTTCAGAAATCGATTAGCAGTCGGGAGGGGATTCGGGAGGGGTAGGGAGGGGGGAGGTGGCACGGAGGAAGCGCTTCAATTTTGATTTGGACATATAATTTTGTTGTTGTTGTTGTTGTTGTTGGACGATTAACCGAAAAGGCAACAAAACACAAAGCAGATTTGTCAAGGGGCAAGGTCAGGGGCAACAACAACAGGAATTTAATGAACGAGAAATCAATTTAATTGATAAGCAATTTCCTTCAAGTAATTCCGAAATGTCCGAAATGTCCAAAATGTCCAAAATGTCCACTCGAATGTCTGTTGCATCCATAAAAAAAGGAAATTTGGCAATGGAATTTATGGCACTGCCGCAGAAGGTCGTAAAAGGGAGGGGCGAGGGGAGTGGCGAGGGGAGGGGCGAGGGGACAACAGAGGCAAGAAACTTCATTAAGGATTCGGCGGGTGGCAAAGCTGGCCTGGAAAACTCTACAAATCCATGAATCCCGTGAATCCTTGGAGCTAATAAATCCCCCCCCCCCCCCCCCCTCCTTTGGTCATTTATTCATTCATTCACTTTTTCGGGGGGCGGGGTGGGCTTCGGTTACGGGGAATGTTGCACCGTTGTGCCTGCCGCCTCCTGCAATGCCTTTAGTTTTAATTAGAGATCCAATGTCTGTGCCCCGCAATGTTAATGGCCACAAAGTGGCTTGCCACAGCATCCCGCCCCGCCCACCATTGAATGGGGTTTCTATATAATTAAGGAATGCCAGCAAAGGGGGGGGAGATGTCGTATTTCTCTCTGCGGTTCTGGCAGCAACAATTAGATGTGTATCCAACACTTGGTCGAGGACGAGAACGAGGACGTGGGATTTACTCTGTTCGTGTCAAAGACGTGCCAAATTGCCAGCGACAGATCCCCTGGTGGTCGGGGGGGGGGGGTGCCACTTGACGCTGTCACGCCCCAGACCCAGACAGACCTGCCACGCAGCCTCCTGCGAGTCAAGCGCCACTCAAACGGCACAAACGGCACAAAGTCAAAGTCAAAGTCAAAGGAGTCCCGAATGTCAGAGGGGTCAGGTGCAACCCGTTCTCCATCGAATCGATGGCTGACGTGATGTGATGGCTTGCGGAGGAGCCATCAAAAGGAGGCCTCTCTGCCGCACAACAAACGAGAGCAGAAAAAACCGCAGGAAAACACGCACAAAACGAGCAATTAACATAAATAATAAAGAACAGTCGATGGCGGCAGACGAGACGACCCTTTGTTGCACAAAAGAAAGAAACCCCAAAAAAAAAAGAACCCCCCGAAAAATGTGAAAAATGTGAAAAATGTGAAATTTGTTTCATTTTCCAAATGCTTCTCGCCGGCTTTCGCCCGCCCCCAGACGCACTCCCATGGATACACACCACTACACACGCGTGTGTGCACACGTGCTGCTTATGGAACACATCCCACGCGCCTCCAGAAGTCGCGCTGTGCCAGGATCCACTGGATCCACTGGATCCACTGGAACAGGGCCTGCCAAACACACACATTTCCATGGGCTTTTGTCTAGAAGATATTTTCGAAATGGCAAAATTGATTGAAGGCTCAGTAATTCCATCGAATGGCATAGAAATGCATTAACTTTGCTGTGAAAACCAATTAAAACGAGCAAACATTAAGAAGCCCTGCAGGGATTCGAGGACGGGGCACTGCTGGGAGGTCCTGCAGTGGCATAGCACCCACATGTGCACATAGTTAGGTGTCGCACTGGATACAGGGCCCTTCTTCAAAGCCCCCTGCAGCCACCGTGGTCCAGCGGTCGATTGTGGCTAGAAAGCTGGCAAGATGGCGCTGAAAAGTGCTCAGCAACATGTCCTTATTTGGTGGAAATATATGGAAATATGCACTCAATAAAATGGAAGCCCAGTCAACAATTATTTACAAGGTTTGATTCTCTTTCCCTTCCTGCAATGCGAGACTTAATGTCAGCGACTGTCCCAACCGAGATGAAAGTTTCTCCGAAATGTCGGTTGGAAAGGCAGAGCCCAAATAGGGCTTACAGAACTATTTACAAACAAACAAATGTTTGAAAAGGATGAAGAGTGACCTTTACTTTCAGTTCGTTTCCCTAGAGAGCTTTTCCCAGAACTCTATTTACATATTCCTCCTGCAACCACAGATACTTTTCTATATCTTAGCGTATCTCATCAACCAGATGCTTATCTGGTTTAATACCCGATCTTGGAGTCGGTCTATATTTACATATAAAGGGCTCTTAAGTCTGGGAGTCGGTTTAAACGTTTAGGCCAAAGGCATTGGGCATCGGGCAAGCCATCAAAATCTTCGGGAAGTGCATTCTGGCACAGCCCACAGCTCTATTTTTCGATACTTCGGTATATTTAATCCGCAAACCCCAAACCCAATGCCTAATCCATGGCTCCAACTATTATCAACCAAGTTTCGATCGGTTATAAAGCCAGGGCCCGTCTTCCAGTTCCTTCGAGGCATCAAACCATAGGTATATTCCAACTTCCAAATTAACATCCTAGAGGAAGCTGTTTCATTCGCGAATACAAGCATTTATGCACTGCCATATCGGAAAAGTCTAAGGCATCCATCACAAGTCAAGTACAGTGTTGGTAAACGCGTTTGAAGCATGCTGCATGCTGCTTGCTATCGCGACGCTTCAAATATAATCGGTTCAGAACCTATCGATAATGGCCTCAACAGCTGTTTGAAAAATCCAAACGTTAACAGCGGAATATAGAATCTGGACGCCCCAGCACCGTAACACTTTTCCCAGTTCTTTATATCGGAGAATAAAGAAAATCTGGGGGATCGTATCCGAGGCAGGAAAAAAAGCTCGCATGGAGAACTGGAGAGCTGACTGGAAGGGGGAGTGGAAAGGGCAGTGGCTGGGGGAGTGGACGGGTTAGACGTCGATAAACTGCACAGAAAGTACAGTACACTCGTAGTCACATCGAATGGGAGCGAATAGCTTCCATAAAACCGTTGTATTCGATCTTTTTCTTCTGCTTCGATATGTCGGCTATCGATGGAGGCCAGAAGCAATGTGAAGCATAAATTTATGCTTAAACGGCACTACCCCATCAAATCCATCACTGAGCAGGTTCTGCCATGTTTGGGTTAAATATTATTCTCATCAAATATCAAATAATGCCGACAGAACTCGGAACTTTCGCCCATCGGTTCTGGCTTTGGTTCATAATTTCTTTGGTCTATGATTCTACTTTTTCGTACTCCTTTTTCATTATGAGCCTGGTTTTTGTGTTCATGAGATCGTCTATGCTGGTAATGCCGTTCAGTCTTTGTGTGCCAGTGTGACCATATATTCCCCGATTAATAATACTCGAATATATCGAATAGTAATAGTCGTTCCTGTCAGAAGGCTCTTTTCTTCCATCAAATTGGAATTAAATCGGTAAAATTGTGCAATTAAAGTAGGCTCATAATATACGTTTAGTTTGTTGGCAGTACAGATCCCCAGTTTACGGAATAACTCTCGACAGTTCGGAGCTAAAAAAAAAAAAAAAAACAAAAAATAAATTTTAAAAAACTCGAGAAAAATGAAATATTTTCAGCAGGACTTGCAACGGCCAAAGCACTTGGCCACATTTCGCATTCTGATACTGGGCGATCCAGGTGAGACTCTATGGGCGGCTACCGACTCCTTAATACACGTGGAAAAACGTCCCTGCAGGTGTGGGAAAGACTTGCCTGAGCAACTTGCTGGCCAACAGCCCGATGACGCCCACACGCTCCTCCCGGACCGTGTCCGACAGCGAGTGGACCGTGCAGGTGCGTCTGCACGACTACAACCCCATCTGGGAGCCGGAGGGGCCAGAGGAGCTCGAGGAGCTCGAGGAGCCGCCAGACGCCTCTGGTGCTGTGCACTTCGTCGAGTTCTACGATATGAACAGAGCGGCGAACGAGTGTCGCGGCGCCAGAAAGCACTTGTACAGGAAGATAGACGGCATCGTGTTGGTCTACAACTTGCAGGATATGGAGACGCAGGACAACCTGCACGACTGGATGTACGGGCCCCTGGTGGAGATAAGCCAGCAGCGCAAACACAAGCGATTGCTGAACAGCCACCATGTGCCCATACTGGTCGTGGGCACCATGCTCGATCGGCTGGCCGAGCGCCCGCCCAATCGCCGCGGCGCCATCGCCCACCAACTGGGGGCCGAGGAGGTACTGATCAATTGCCTGGACCCACACGCCTTGGCCAAAGGCACCCGCAATCTCGCCAAAGTGTCGCACTTCCTGAACAGCTCCGTCGACTGGATGCGCGAACCCGAATGAATATTTTACCCATCGCATATCCTACATCCTACATCCTACATCCTACATCTGTGTTCATTGGCCATAATATAGATGTTTAGTTGATTATATATGGGGGATATTTCTGGTTGGGGGCTCAGGACCTTCATCGATGGGCCCACGACTCGGCAAATGTGGAAAATGTTTAATTTTCCAAATGGGTCTCTCGCTTTCACTCCTTTTGCTCTGTGCGTACGAGGGGGTGGGGGGAGGCAGGGGTATTCCCTGAGCAATAAAACAATAAAATACATTTTCCACCATCCTCGTCGTCGTTTGACGTGTGTGTCCGCCGTAGGGAGGCTGTTGCAAGTGTCAGAGGAGCCGGCCCGAAGGTTGCAAGGTGGCACAAAAGGCCTACGTGAGTCATGGGCGACATTGAAACAACTTTTGACAGCCACCAAAATGCACGGCATACGGGCTACGGGGCACGGAGCACGGGGCACGGGGCACGTGGGGCACAAACCCTCGTCTCGTTTCGTTTTGTGTCGTGTTGGGTTTTTTTTTATGGCGGGGGGGCTGGGGGGGGCACACAACTCTTTGGGAATTTACAACTCCATTCATCAAATTCACAAGAAAACTTCTGACGTTGCAAGAAGCACAAAACATTCCCGTGTTTTTGCCAATAGCTTCTGCTTCTCCTCCTCCTCCTGCCAGGACTCTCTCCCTCCCCCCCCCTCTGTACCTCTAAGAATGTGTCTTGGCCTCGTCTAATTTATTGCCTTTGATAATCCATGTTGATGAATGGCGGGCGAGGGCAACGACAACGGCGACAACAGCAAATGAAGTCCTGGAATCCTGTTGGGGGGGGGTGGGGATGGCCAGGACTAAAAGTTATTGGCCCAAGGAATCAAGCAAAGTCAGGGCAAGGCCTTAGAGGGCTGGTCGAGGCTTTGGATACACTTTTTCGAGCAGAAAATACTCGAAAAAATAGATCTGAAATGGGAAAAGAGAGTATCGTAGGCATTGAAGCCACGAATGAAGTGGAAATTCCCAACAAGCAGCAAACATAAACATAGATTCTCATAGTTTGGGGCCCTGCCGCTGCCCAGACAATGGAGAAGGCCTCTTCTGTTCTCCCCTCTTTAGTTTATTGAGTCCCCCTCCCCCCAGAGCTGGCGGGGCACCTGGCCATCGGACCTGCAGTTTGGGTAGTTTTTCGGTTTTACAATGGAATGGAAGTTTTTCTGGTTTGAATTTCTCCATAAACCTGTCTGTCACTCGTTTTGGGGACGTGGAGACTTGGGGACTTTCGTTTAGCTTTTCTGGTTTTCTCTGGAATTAAGAGTGAAAGGAGGGGAAAGCAATAAACAATTTTACCAATGTCCTGACAGGAGACACGGAGAGCACAGGAGACCCAAGACACACAAGAGACACAAGAGACACGGGACACGGGAGACGGGAGCCGGGACGCACCTGCAGCAGCCAGGACACACCTGTCACTCACTCACTCAGTCTCGGAGAGTGTGACTGCCGCCACATTGGGGGGGCGGTGGCAAGTTTATTAAACATTTTTGCGGCTTATGCCCCAAAGTTAAATGCAGAATCGCAGGAGGCTGCCGCTGCTGCTGCTGCCCTGCTGCTCTGCTATAACATGTGGCAGGGCTTTGGCCTTGGATTTTCATAATAAATTTTATGCTAAGTCTAATTTGTGCATGCAACAGCAGCGGCAGCAGCAGAAGTCGTGCTGGAAGATGCAACACAGCCAGCCATACGCCCACGGGGCGGCGGGGGCGGGCTTGTGGCAACAGCAGCCGGAAAGCACACAACAAACAAAGGAAAACGTACGAGTTTGGATTGGGCTGTGGCTGTGCAGGGCCAAAGGGCAAAGGCCCAAAATTAAAGCGTGGACAGCACCTTGTGCCCTGCATTTAAATATCAAAATATTTTTAGCAAGCATTATCAATATTTTAAGATGCAATTTTCAGTATTATTAGAGTTTATCAGTATTTTTTAGAAGTTTTTTTTTTTAATTTGCTTTTTTTTATTTAAATATTTCCCATATTATTATTTGGTATTTTTTGGTTATTTTCAAAATTTGTTTCCATTGTTTTTTAATTTGTGGTATTTTTCTGTAATATTTTTTGTTAGCTCTTAGTCTAATATTTTCTTAAATTTTGCCTAGAATTTGTATTAGTATTTTAAAGTATTTTTGAATATATATTTTTTTTAAGTTTTTTCCATTTTGTACAATTTAATTTGTAGTATTTTTTAGCAGTAGTATTCAAAAATAATTTTTTTTATTTTAATATTTTCAATATATTTATTTGGAATTTTTTTGGGTATTTTAAAAAATTGTTTCCATTATTTTGTAGTTTGCGGTATTTTTTTAGGTCTTGGTATAAGAAAATACTTCTTATATTTTGCCTAGAATTTGTAGTAGTATTTATGAGTATTTTTTTAAAATTTTTACAATTAAACGTTCAGTATATTTTGTAGTATTTATATTTAAATGGGTTTTTCAGTATTCGTTGTTTTGCCTAACGTCTATTAGGGCCATTTCTGTGCACTTTTTCACGCTCACACATTCTTTGGGTAGCCCGAAAAACTTTTGAGCCGCAGCTTGGGGCTGCCTGGCGTTTGTCCCCCCCCCTGCCGCTATGCCACTCCCCCACTGTTTTCTCGCTGGGTTTTTTGTGGCCTCAGAGAGGACGAGAGAGCGCAGCTCGACGACAAACTAAACAAAGGCAGGCTGACAGGCAGGCAGGCAGGCAGGCAGGCAGGCTGGCAGGCAGCAAAGCCAGTAAAATGTTTATCCCCAACGTAGGCGGAGAGCCGCCTACAGCCGTCTCCATTGTGGGAGTACGAATAAGCCAGAGCCTTGGGGTTCAGCCACTTTATTGCCTGTCCACTGCCGGGCCTCCTCCTGACGCTCTCCCATTGCTGCCTTCTGCTACGGAAATGAGGGATTTTTTGGATGGTTTTATTGCTGGGATCTGAGGCCAAAAGTTGGGGCTAACTGGAGCATAATAACTCGAATATAATTTGGATTACACGTCGTTCCCCCTACTTTCTCTTTCTTTGCAGCTACAAGAACATGCATGGCTATGTCTCCCTGGTGGTCTGCATCCTGGGAACGATAGCGAACACTCTCAACATCATTGTGCTCACCCGCAAGGAGATGCGCTCCCCGACGAACGCCATACTCACGGGCCTGGCGGTGGCCGATCTCGCGGTGATGCTCGAGTACATACCCTACACGATCCACGACTACATCCTGACCGACAGCCTGCCGCGGGAGCAGAAGCTGAGCTACGGCTGGGCCTGCTTCATCAACTTCCACTCGATCTTTGCCCAGGTGCTGCACACCATCTCCATTTGGCTGACGGTCACGCTGGCGGTGTGGCGCTACATAGCCGTGGGCTATCCCCAGAAGAATCGCGTGTGGTGCGGCATGCGGACGACCATCATCACGATCTTCACGGCGTACGTGGTGTGTGTTCTGGTCGTCTCCCCGTCGCTGTACCTCATCACGGCCATAACCGAGTGGATGGACCAGTTGGACGCGATGGGAAAGGTCATCAACTCGATACCCATGACGCAGTACGTAATCGACTATCGGAACGAGATCGGAATGAGCGTCAAGGTGGCAGCACTGAATGCCACTCCGCAGAGCCTGAATCTGAACGAAACCTTGTGGTTGAATGTCACGGGCACCACCGAGACACCTGCCCCTCCTGTGGCACCTCCTGCGCCTGCCCCTGCCCCTGCCCCCGCTCCTTTGGTGGCGCGAAACGTCACCGTCTACCGGCTCTACCACAGCGATCTGGCCCTGCACAATGCCTCCCTGCAGAACGCCACCTTCCTGATCTACAGCGTGGTCATCAAGCTGATACCCTGCATTGCCCTGACGATTCTCTCAGTGCGCTTGATCCTGGCCCTCTTGGAGGCCAAGCAGCGCCGGAAGAAGCTCACCAGCAAGCCCCCCACCCCCGCCGTGGCGGCGGCCAGCAATGGAAACGGCACCGGCAAGCCGCTGGTGAATGGAAAGCCCTCGGAGCGGCCGCGCAAGAACAGCAAGCTCCTCGAGAAGGAGAAGCAGACGGATCGCACCACGCGCATGCTGCTGGCGGTGCTGCTGCTCTTTCTGATCACGGAATTCCCCCAGGGTATCATGGGTCTGCTGAACGCCCTCCTGGGGGACGCCTTCTTTCTGCAGTGCTACCTGAGATTGAGTGAGTTCTTCGCCTCGACGACGGGGGCTCCTTCGCTAATAAATATTTCCGTTTGATTTGCCCACCTTTTTTCCAGGCGACTTGATGGACATTTTGGCCCTGATAAACTCCAGCATCAACTTTATTCTGTACTGTTCGATGAGCAAGCAATTTCGTACGACATTTACCCTGCTTTTCCGCCCGAAATTCCTCGACAATTGGCTGCCAGTGGCCCAGGACGAGGTGGCCGCCACACGGGCGGAGCGTTCGGCTGTGGCTCCGGCGCTGCAGCAGCGGCAGATTGTGACTGCTGCCGGTGCCACCACCACCACCACGAGCACCACTCAAGTGACGAATCTGTAGCATAGAAATCCCAGCAGAATGTTGGGGCGTCTCTTGAGCCTGCTGAAGCGGAGGCGGGACGCGGCCGAGGGGGGTTCGCGCGCAGACAGGGAAGCGCCAGCCGGCAGAGGATCCCTGGGCGGCTCCGAGGCAGAGGCCATGGCCCTGCAGTTCCACGCAATTGTCGTGGTGGTGGACAAGGCCAGCGGCGCCACGGATCATCACTTGTGCCCCACTGACGAGGCGCCAGCCATGGCGTAGTGGACCGCTGGCAAAAATTGAAAATTGAGGCCCGCAAACTAGATCAAATCTAGAGGATGGTTTTTCCTAGCTACATATTTCTGTAAAATATATAAGATTTCTCTCTAGTTTTCCTCTAAAAAGAAAAAACCCCCCATTTGTTAGGCAATAAGTAAGAGAAAAAAAAGCTAAACACAAGGCATTTGCATACTTTTTTTGCAGGAGGAACCCTTGAAGTCCTTCAGACCCCTCAGACCCATGACAGAACTCGAATAAAATGCAGAACAAATCAATCATACGCACACGCATCGCTGGCCACTCAAGTGTTTTGGCCCATAAATCACATTTGGAATCGCAGGGCTTTGCTGCAATTTTCATCATCAACAACAACAGAAACAAACCCCAGGAAAAAGAGTATGCAAAATGCAATATGTCTGCGTGTGCTCTACAGAACTACGAATTTTACGAATTTGTTTGGCAACGATTTCGTTCGGAATGAAAACGGAATAAGTGTCTGATATATTTCATAGATACGCATACGGATATAGGGCATAAATCTGCACGTGTGTGCACGTGTGTGTGTGTGTGTGTGTGTGTGTGTGTGTTGGTGTGAGGCAATTTTCGTGGAAAAACCATTGGCTGGCAGAGTCACTAATTTTAAGAGAAAGAATCCCTTATTTTGGAAGCAGAGGCTGTGAAACGTTTAACAAAAATAGGTTTCCTTTTATCCTGGAGGACAAACAGGGTTTCCTTTAATGGGTAAATTATGCGGATGAGGATTTTTTTTGTCACACTTTTGTAGGATATTTTGTAGATTTAATTTAATTTTTTTTGTTTTTTTTGTGTCCGCCGCTGCAGCACTTTTTGCCCCAAATTAAAGGCATTAAAGGGGAGTCCCGTCGCCCATCAAATGACACGCATAATATGATGATTGATGATTGATGATTGAAGTATTTGTGCAGCAAACTGAGCCCCTGACAAATATTTCGAATCATTGAATACATAAATAAATCAAAGAACCACAAAAGAGAATTTCATTACAAAAAAATGAAGAAATAAATAAAATATAGACATTTAATGATGGGAAAAAGAGAGACAGAAGAGAGTGGGAGAGGGAGAGCGTGAGAGAGCGAGAGGGAGCGAGAGCGCGTGCCATATAATTAGCACTAAAATTCGTATAAATATAGAGAAAAATTAAATTACATTTATAATGTTGCCACAGTGTTTGCTAAAAGTAAGCATACATATTGAATAAATATTGATATTAATTTGTTGTTTGTTAAATGTATATTTAAGTGTGATTTAACCTACTCAAAAAACACACAAACCAAAAAAAAAACAAAAAAAAAACCCCCCAAAATAAATTAAGTTTTTTTTTTACATATAAGAAAAATAGCAGCAGCAGCAGCAGCAGAAAAAGCTACCAGTCATAAATGAAATGCGGAAAGGTTTTAGTGTTTAGACAGGCGAAAAAAACCCAAATATTAAATATAATTAAATTAAACAGCAACGGCAAAAATGTGTGTTTTATTTCTGGGGAGAAGCCAAGGGAAGGGCTGCTCGGCGAATAATTTGGGGAAAGTTTTTCCAATTATTTTTCATTTAAGCAGCAGAATGTAAAGACCAATAGAGAGCACAACTTTATGGCAGAGCGAACGTATCTCAACAAAAAAGTTTAATTTGCATTAGCCATAAAAAAAAAAACAAAAAAAAAAAAATGTAAATATGGAAGGAAAAACCGCAGCAGGGAAAAGTTTAGAGTGAGAGAAGGAGAGGGGGAGGCGGAGGGAGAGCGGTATGTAATGGAATTCAAAACAATAAGCATGAGAAATGGGCCACAAACAAAGTTACGGCCCAAACAACAAACTCCTTCTCGAAACATGAAGGAGGCGTCTCGCAAAAGTCAGGGGGCACTGGCCAGTGGGCAGTGGGCAGCAGGACGAGGAGCAGCAGTGGGGAGAGACGGAGTGCCGCAAAGGGAAAGTTCTCTCTGTGTGTGCCGCAACTTTTCCTGCAGTTCTTCTTCGAAGAATCGTAGTTTCGGGGAAAATAGAAACGATTACCCCGTTCTCTCGACGGCGCTGTGACAGCAGCACTCGGGGACTCTATCCCTGATAAGCCATGGACGAAAACCAGGGGGGGGGGGGGGGGGGTGGTCTCAAAAGGGCACTTGGGAACACTCCATTTGGCAGCTGGGATTTGGAACAACACTTTTCCTGGTACCTGGTGCCCCCTGCCTGGGCACAGATTCCTCTTTTCGAGTCTCCAGCGAGCAATATTCACTCCATCGAATTTTAATCCCAATCATTTCTTATCCCCCTTTTTCCTCTCTTCCCGCTTGATAATCATCTGGCTCTCTCGCTCATTGGCTTTCTCTTCTCACGATTTTCGGGGGTCTCATTGAATTATTAACCCGTTCAAAGGGAAGGTTACTTGCCCCCTTTTAATCTCCTAATTAACTCAATTGACGCCTGCCTTTGGGTTTACCTTCAAGTGAAGTTCGAGGGCCATTGTCCTCCCCCCCTTTTACCCCTCCCCACCACCCCCCACAAGGATATTTGTAATTAATGCTCTCGCGTTTTGACAGCTACAATTGCATTCTCCCACTGCCCCTGCCCCAGCCCTTGCCCCCGCCCCTGCCCTTGCCCCTGCCACGTCCATTCGACTGTTAATTTTATCCGTTGCTCAATTAAATATGAGTTCCCCCGGCAAAACTTTTGGCCTTTGAATAACCAAAAATCTCTGGCTCTTTCTCTTTCGAAAGGCCATAAAAAGCAGCAGCGGGGAGCCACGGAGGCGGGAGGCCAAAAAAGAGGCGGAGACAGAAGGCTCGCTCTCATAAACACATTTTATCGAAAGCAGTTAAGGCGCACAAAAAAAAATGGCTAAAACTTTGGCAATTATTGGAACGTGCTGCGACTTCGGAACGGCACGAAGGATTCCGGCGAGATGCGGAGGCCCAAAAGTAGAAAGCATATGGTCTTTGGACTGTGAGATGTCCTTTACTCTAGAACAGGCTCCAAAAATAACAGAACTAGAAGTCTATAGCTTTCAAATTGTGGATTCCATATCGTTTACAACAATTTTGGATATATCTTTGTTTCCAGAACATTTAATGGTAATGTGAGGACATGCCTGGACCCTTACAGGGTATCAAAACCAGCCAATATGCTAGGATTCATGGAGAAAACGAAAGTGCCAGCTGCTGTCTCTCGCAAAATGTCTTTTATTCCACTTTCTTTACAGATCAACAGAGGTTTCTATGAGGTATGCGGCTAGGCCTCTTCTTTGGGCCTATGGTGCCTTTTTCCATAGAGTATTTTCCATCAACTGCAGTCCAGATGGGATTCCCCTTTTCATTCTCTTTCAGCAGACAATCCCCCGATATCTGCATCTAAATTAGCCCCAAAACACACTATAAATCATTCATTAAAGTCAATATACTCGACTCATAATTATGATTCGCTTTTCGCTCTACGCCTTCCTTGAATGTGGGCGAGGGGCGCCTCCTTGGCTCTCCTTGGCTTCTGCTTCCTGGTGGCCGCTTCAAAACTTTTCATTTGAAATTGATTGAAAAACTTTACACACACAGATACAGAGAGAGAGAGAGAGAGAGAAAAACTGCTGTTCTGATGTGCTCTTCAAAGGGTTGATGATGGCGAGGAGACCTTCAACGCGTTGGAAAAACTCTCCACTGATGCAAGGCATGCGGGAGGGAGACAGGAAGGAGGCGCCTCTGCCTCTGCCTCTGGCTCTGGCTCCCCGTGAAACGAGATTAATCTTCCTACGAACTCGAAGCCTGTGCCTAGCTCCTGGCAGGACCAGAGGCTCGTGCGTTGGCAACCGAATGCCATGGCAATGCGTGCGGGAACCTCTCGCTTTTCCCCCTTTTTTCTGTCCCTTTTTTTCACGTTTTTTTTACCAGAACGTGGTGCAAGCAGAGGCGCTTAAATGTCGGGGATTCTAGGGGAGCTCTTGTCCTGCCATTTGCATAATGGATTTGTCTACAATTAGCCACGGCAGCTGTGCCACTGCCACACTGACATGACTTCCACAGCTCGGTGTCCAGAGCTCTGTAACCGGACCCTGGAGGATGCCTGCAGCAGCATCAGCAGCAGCCGTATTGCATTCCGTGCCACATATCTCATATGCGTCCAGGGAAAAGCCCTTCAGCACTAATACCTGCTGATGCTGCTGCTGCTGCTTTTTCCCATGCAAACTAATTGCAGGACAAGGGATGGCAGGGGACGGCAGGGGATGGCAGGGGATGGCAGCGGATGGCAGGTGAGGGCTTTAAAATGCTGTTCGCTACAAAAGTCAACCACTTAACCGGCAAACAAATCCCATTCCTCATCGCGGAGCAGCATCAGAGCATCAGGGCATCTAATGAGCCTCTCATTAACGTAATTACGTGATTTTGCTGGCTCTGGCAGTGGCAGCGGCAATAACTGTGGCAAGAATCCATCAGCTCTGCCAGTGGCACTGTGCGTGTGCGCTTCATTTGCTTCACTTGCCTCATTGCCACATCAAAAGGATAATCGCTCTGTGTGCGCGAGAAGCGCTAAGCAGATTGTTTGCTTCGTTTGCCTGTTTGCTGAGTGGGAAACTAATACTCAAAATGTTCAAATACTCAAACTTACATCCACGTCACTTCAGAAGTTCAATTTCAGGAGGAAAAGACACACAAGTGCCACGAAGATACACCTTTGCCCGGAGATACATCACCGGTTCAAGACACTCTTTGAATTTTGATAAGGCAAATGGTTGCAGATGCTCTGGGATTCTGGGACTGTCAATTGCTGGAAAATGGCCTATACATTTTTCGTTTTTCAAGGGTGAATGTTGCTAATTCGCTATGAAAGCTTACGTAAAGTGAACGCAAACAAGTAAACGGAAGCTAGGCTTAAAAAACTGCAAAAATACTAGAAAATACTAAGAAAAATACTAAAAAAATACTAGGAAAATACTAGAACATACTAGGAAAATACTAGAACATACTAATAAAATACTATAAAAATACCACAAGGTTCAATACCAGGCTTAAAATACTAGAAAATACTACGAAAAATACTAGAAAATACCACGAAAAATAATAGAAAATACTACGAAAAATACTGGAAAATACCACGAAAAATACTAGAAAATACCACGAAAAATGCTAGAGCATACCAGGAAAATATTATAAAATTACCAGAAAATACAATTAAAAAATTAAGCATCAGAACATTTAAAATTATAAAATACCAAAAAATAGTGGAATAAAACAAGCAAAATAATATCTAAAAATACTAGAACAAAGCTCTACAATAATTATGATGGAAATATAACATAAAAAATATTACGAAAACAAGAAATGGTAAAAACAAAAATAACAGAAAATACTAGAAAAAATCAATTACTGGACAAGTATCAAAAAACGGCTATAAAAACACTGTACGACACACTGGCACTTTTGGAATGTACTCTGCACGAGACAAAAACTACCTTGTAGGCCGAGACGAGTATTTTTCTTCCTCATTCTTTGATTTTGGAATTTAACCCCCAAAAATTCAATTTAAAACTTAAAAAACTGCGACTTTGGGCACTTTCACTCCACATCTGAAGCACTGATATCCACAAAAATGTAAGATTTAGATGGAAAGTTGTACGACCTTTCGGTTGGACTTCGATTTTGGATTCGTATCGATAGAGTGGAAGCACCAGAAGACCACCGAAACCACCGAAAGTTAAAGCTTTATGCAATTTTAAACGACTTTCAAAAAATCTATTTTGAGCAGTTTATTACCACTTTTGGGCATTAGTTCTTCAGTGGCTTTAATTCCCATTTTAGAGTACATTAAAACGAGCTCGTTTTGACATTTTGTGATTATAAATGTTGCAAGATTGTATGTAATCCTGGGCACTAAACACCAACTAACTTACTAATCATCTTCATGGATTGTGTGTATATTTGAGGGCCAGATTAATCGGCACTCAAGTAGACTCGCATTTAGGTGCCGCACAGACTGCTTTCTGCCAATGCCGCTGCCTCTGCCTCTGCCGCTGCCGCTGCTGCTGCCACACGTGGCTGTGGCTGCGATTCAGTTG